AGAATTCCTACCACTTGCTATTGTATTGTGCTTGTCTGTGTTTACACATTTAGATACTCTCCTAGTCACTTTTCTCATTGCTGAGATAAAATACCTGACACCCAAAGTGAAAGGAGGAAAGGTTTATTTAGCTCACAGTCCGTGGAGGTTTCAGTCCATAATCAGCTGGCTCCTAGGCAGGGTGCGGTAGCAGAGGGACTTGGCAGAAGAGGAACAGTTCATGGCAGCCAGAAGGTAGCAAATCAAGGGCCTTCAACTGCACCTTTCTGCCCCTTTTATCTTATCCAGTGTACTCGGGGCAGGCAGCACTCAAACCCTTAATCCTTGCGTCCTTGAGCTTAGCACTGCGCCGTGAATCAATCCCAGTGTCACACACTGTAGATCCAGCCACCTCCGAAAAAGCCCCTCCTGTGACTGCATGAGGCTTTGGGGGAACGTCTAGACACAAGCTGTAACAGACACACAAACACTACTGCGTCACAGTTGCCTACCACACTCAGCCCAGTAGCATGCCCTACGGATGTGTAGCTGGGGAATGACAGTCTGTACTACACAGCTCTACCGTGTAGCAGGCTGTGAAAGTACATACTGTGATGTTCGCACAATGCCGAGGTCGTGCAGTTCTCAGGAATCCGTGCACTTCTCAGAAATGCACCTTAGCACAGATATTTATGACCAGCAAATCTACGCTGTCTCTAGAGGTGCACGTTCACCTTGGGGACATTACTTGAGTTACAGCTGTGGCAGTGGATGTGGAGGTGACGGACAGAGTATCACAGTAATGGTAGCTCACGGAGTCAGGGAGGAGGAAAGGGAGCACTCACTCCACAAGAGCAGATGCCTCAGAAGCCAAAGCGGGCAGGAGGCGGCGGCGGGCGGCAGCACGCATGAGGCACGCTGTCAGGAAGAAGCAGGGAAGGAGCGAAGCGAGAAGGGATGGCTGGAGGGGGAGAAGGGGGCGGCCACAGTGGTGGGATAAGCCTGGGTATGCAAGGGCCGCCCTGCAGGCCTTGGAGGCCGAGGTAAGCGGCCTGGGCCGGGTCCCATGTGGATGGACGCCACCACAGGTTCAGCCTGGAGGAAAGGGTGAAGGTGAACGTGAAAGACTTGCTCAGGGGGGAAACTGAGGCTGGAGAGAAGATTCATCCTCCCGGCTGACTTTCCTTAAATACCTACTATGTGTTAAGCACTCTGCTTATCCCTTTTCTTACCCGCCCTTATTTAGTCCTTACCCCAACCCTGTGACGGACACATTGCCCTCACGTCACAGATGGGGAGACTGAGGCCCACGGAAGTTTTGATCCTGTGTGCTGGGTCTCACGGCTGAGAGGCGGCAGGGGCGGGGTTCATCCCCTGGCCCCTCCTGGACGGGCTGCGGCTGCCTGTGCCCCTGATGTGTGCACGTGCCCTACCCTTTGCAGACAATCGCTGCATGGACAGACGGTTCCTTCCGGCCAAGTCCAAGCAGCTCATCGCTCTGGCCAGCTTCCCGGGTGCCGGCAACACGTGGGCCCGGCACCTCATCGAGCTGGCCACCGGCTTCTACACGGGCAGCTACTACTTCGATGGTTCTCTGTACAACAAAGGTGAGGAGACGGGCAGAGAGGGAGGCTTCCCGGACTGAAGAAGGGGCCCAGGAGTGGGCATGGACCACCCTTTCCTGAGCACCTACTGTGTGCCACTGAGCCTGCCAGTGGAACCTACTATGTGCTTCCCTTCTTTTATATCTGACAAACATCTCTCAAGTTTTATGACCCTAGTACCTCACCTGCATTCACTCAGTGATTGACAACTGTCAGTCACCGATCGTGGGCCTGGTCCCTTCCTTCATTCAGTTCAACCCAAATGTTCCTTAAGCTCCTGCTGTGTGCTGAGCACCTTGCCACAGATATTTACTGACCAGCAGCTCTGTGTTGTCCACAGAGGTGCACGTTCACTTTGGAGACATTGACTGGGCGCCAGATTGAGTTCACAGATATTTGCTGAACACTGCCACCTTTGGGATGTTCCTAAGTTTGTTTTTCAGCAAGCGCTTATAGAGCACTGACTGTGTGCACTTTGCGGGTGTTCAGCTTGCCATGGATGTTCTCCTGGCCACCTGGTACGTGGGCCAGATGCGGCAAGCTGCACACGAGGCCTGGGGCAGGGTGATGTTGCTCTTTCCTAGACACAAAAACCGAGGCTGGAAGTGGGGGAAGACTTTACCCAAAGTCACACAAACTTGTTCTCAGTGTGCTGATCATGGACTGCACCCAACTCTCTGCACCCTACTCTTTCTTGATTTCGCATTCCACCTCTTTCTTGCTCCATCACCCCGGCAAGAAGTTCCTGGATTTCTCACTGGGGGTCTAGAAACCATGGATGTACACTGGGCATAAAGCCCTCTCCTTGGCATGATGGGGACATCAGGGAAGTAGGTCCTCTGCCTACGTGAGGGGATTTTATGTCTATGTAGGGAGAGGTTTTATGTCTATGCAGGGAGCACCCTTAGCCACGGTCTTTGTGTCTACAAAGCAGCTGAGGACCGCTTCCTGGCTGTGTGACCTTGGGCAAGCTACTGTATCTCTCTGATCACGTGTGATGAGACACAAGTTAGAGATAGCAGTATGTGTTTAGGCTATCCCAAGGTTGAGAAGTTCATATATGTAGCCTGCTTGGTACATAGTAAATAGGCTGTGAGCATTAGGGCCTGGGTATGGGAGACTAGCCATGCACAGGCTGGGGTTGACAGAGAGCCACCCCCGAACTGTAGCTCGGGGAAAGCCAGGGGCAGGTCTCTCAGAGAAAGAAACAGGAGGGAGGCAGAGGCTGGGTGAGAAGGCAAGAAGGATGAAGAGGGATGGGCCAAAGGTTGGAGTCATCAGGAGGGACAGTGACCTGTGTAGAATCCCAACTTCTTACGCAATTACTGATTCCTAGTTTGGGCTTTAGAGGTCATTTGTTGAGCACCCATGTGAGGCTGAGTGTGTTGCATGCCATGTCAGGACTTGAACCCAGGCCTGGCTATCAACAGTACTTGTGCTGCTGAGCCAGGGCTGCACTGTCTTGGTGAGAGGTGTTGGGAGGACCCAAGGCAAATTCTGGAGAGCGGCTGGGGGAGCAGGCTGGAAAGCACCCACGGCTCCCCACAGCCCAACACCTCCTGGTTGAGGGCTGGGGATTTAGCTCAGCAGCACAGCGCCTGCCTGGCAAGTGCAAGGTGGTGAGTTTGATTCCCGGTACCGGAAAAAAAAAAAAACCAACACCTCCTGGCTGTGGCAGCAGCACTCCTCATGGGATGGCCGAATGTCACAAACAGAAGGGCCTTCGGGGTCACTGAGGTCAGGGATCCAAGGCAGGTTCCTCTCGCAAGTCAGTCCCACTGGGGGGCGTTAGCAGGCGCTCAGATGCGTGTTAGGGTGAGGCGTTAAGGCTTCTGAGCATCTTTTCTCCTTCAGAGGAAGAGTGACTTAATCCAGCACTGCTTCTTGTTGAAAGTGCACAAGCGGGGAACAGCGGTCTCCGTGTCAGGTGTTTGCCACCTCTGACCCTAACAGCCTCTCACTTCAAAGAAAGGGAAATTAAATCTTAAGGTGGAGTCGGGGGATCCAACTTTCAGTCTAAAAGCTCACTCTGACGCTTGGGCAAGATTTACCACCTGTCTGAGATTTTGCTTCCTCATCTATAACACGAGGAGGTCGGTAAGGAGCTCACAGGTTTTCCAAAAACGTAAGATAGTGTTTGTCAGATAACATGTGCGAGGCTGTGGTATAAAGTACACACGTTCTCTCAAATGACGTACGACCAGCACTGTCAGCTAGGTATCAAAGCCAGAGAAAGGCTGGACCCTGACTAAACAATTAGACTCTCCTTAGAGCTTTTCAAGTCTCAACAGCTGCTCTCTACAGTTTTTTTTCACCAGAATGCCAGGGCTGGGCCAGACCTTGGTATTTTCTTAAATCTCTCCAGGGGATTCTGGTGCAAAGCCAGAGCTGAAATCCCAGCTCTAGGCTAAGAACCCAGTATTCTTTCCTTCAGATCTATAGTATTCCAAAACTTCTATTTGGGCTCACAGTTCCGAGGACTCAGTCCATGGGGAGTTTGGCTCTATTGTTCTTAAGCTGATGGCAAGGCAGAAATATCATGGCAGAAACGCACAGTGGAGCAGAGCCGCCCACCGCTTGGCAGCTGGGGGGTGGTAGAGGATGAGTGGGGGGCAAGATACAGTCTCCAAGGCTCACCCCTAAGAACCTACTCCCTTCAACTGAGCCATCATCTTCCAATAGCCCATCAGATTAGAAACTCATGGCACATTAATCCACTGATGAAGTCAGAGCCCTCGTCATCCACTTTTTTCCCAAGAGCCATACCTCTGAACACTGCTACACCGGGGACCAAGCCTCCCACACGAGCCTTTGGGAAGACATTTCCTATCCAAACTCTAGTAAGTGTCTATAAAATTTTACCTTGATTTTTTTTTAAAAATCAAGAAAGAAAGAGAGTCTAACCTATCCACAACAGTACAGTCTCCAGTTGTGTCTTGTCGCTGCACAGCCCTCTGAGAAGGGCAGGTGTGTGGCTGGTCACAGGCAGCAGATGCTTTGAGCTGCCTTTTCGTTAGGGGCTTAACAACACTTCCTGCAGCCTGAGACCTAGGGGCTGGCAGTGGAGTGCAGACACCCCCCTAAGAACTCGAAGGTGACCTGGATACCCCCAGAGAAGCTGAAACTTTGCTGACCCTTAAAAATAATGTGATGTAAATGTGCCACATTTATGTAATGGAGGTGCTGGGTCCTGTGGCAAAGAGGGACTGAGAAAGGGGTCCCCGCTGGTGGCATTCAGCAATTCTGCTCTGGCCCCAATCTTGCATCTCTGATTCCCCTTGATGACCTTCAAGGACAGCTGAGCAACCAGCTATTGTTTTCTCAGGCAAGCCCGTCCCTTGTGGTTTCGCAACAGCGCCTTTCACGCCCAGAACTCTGCCCCTTTCTCTGGGAGCCATTCTGCTGAATGGAGTTTTCCCCACCTCACATTCCCAGTGCTCCTTACAGAACAACCCCACGGGCAACCAAACTCTGGAATCTGGAGCGGATGTTTTCCCGAGCTGATAGTTTTCCTTGTTTGTGCTTGATTTCACCCCCACATTGGGCTAGGTTGACCCCATCATGGACAAAGGGAAATGTGCCCTTGGTCTCATAGTGCACAGAGCTGATTTAAAGCTGTTCGACCATTATGCCATGATTCTGATGATTTATTTTTCCTGAGAACCCGTGTGTGTTCTTCTGTACCTTCCTGCCTGTGTCTTCCCACGACTGTGCTCATAATGAAATGGATGTCAGTGAAGGTGAAACAAGTCATACGGGGAAGGCCCTTTGTTGATGTCATTCAGAATGCCCTGGATAGAATGCATGACATGAAATCGCACCCAGGGCTCCAACATGGGTAAACGTTTAGGTCCCACCCACTCTCAAGTCCCCACGCCCTATTCCTCATTATCCTCTGGAGACAATTTTCCCCACAATACCGTGCATCCCACGTGCCTCCAAGGCTGGGGGAGAATATTTTATCATGGAAATGGGCCAGCGCTAACTGCAAGGTTAGTCTAATCTCTGCCACTTGGCTTGGCCAGTCCTAAAATGGAGCAGACTTGGAGAAGCTCATCCTTCTCCTGGCTCTTCTGCCCAGTGGCCCTGTGAAGGTGGCCACACCTCTCTGAGCCCCTGACACCAGGAAGAGAACCAGCTACCACACCATCCCTCACCCTCATCTATCTTCAAAGCCAGAGCACAAATTATTAAAAACCAGGAGGGGATTGGTGAGCGAGGATGGCTTCTCTGCCCACGACTTCACCTTAGCCTTGTGCTGTGCTAGCTGCCCTTTGTGAAATCTTACGGTGTCCCCAACCAACTTCTCACAGTGACCATATGAGGGAGAGTGTATGTCATCCCATGTTACAGGTGGGGAAACCGAGGCCCAGAGAGGTTACACACTGTCAGGATCGCTCCCTGAGCCGGAAACACAGCCACTCTGTTGAAGACCTACTCAGTAACATTTCTCCTTGGCCCTCAAGGTTCCATAAATGCTTTATTCTCATGAGACTGAGGACAGTGCAGTCTCAGAAACCCGGATGGCCTGGGTGTGTATCCTTGCTCTGCCTCTCTCTAGCTTTGTAACTGGGATAAGTTATTTGACCTCTGTGCCTCAGTTTCCTCATCTGTCACATCCTGCATAGGACCACTTAGAAGACTGAGTCATCCAGTGTGTGCAGAGGGCTCCGGCCAGTGCCCCACATGGCATCATCACTGTAACAGTGTTCCCTCTTCCCTCCAGGTCCTCAGCTTCTGAAATGAAAAGCAGGTCATATCCCTTCTCCCTCTTGCTTAAATCCTCTCAAGGGCTGCAGGACCCTTTGTCAGCACCCTCAAACCCTCTCCAGCCATATACCCTCCTCTTGCTCTCTGGGTTCCCTCTCTCCTGTACACACTTCTTCCCGCCTGCCACAGGACTTTGTACCTCTGTTCCCGCCCCCTGGCCCTCCCCTTGTGCAAGGAAATTGTGCCTCACCCTTCACTTCTCCGCTTAAGCCGCTCTGGACGCCACCTGACTTTGGCCTGACTGCCGGCTCAGGCTGTAGGTTCAGACCACGTGTGTTCTGTGTCTAATTACCATCAATGCTCTCTGCCACCCCAGGGACACCCTTCCCATGGTGATGGCAGAAGCAGGGGAGCCTGAAACATATTCAGACACAGGCTATGTCTTGAGACTTTGGTGGAGACCCACTTCCACCCTCTTCCCATGTGCTCGAACACGAGGCTCTCAGAGAGTGACACAAAGCAGCTATGCCCGAAGAGGAACGGCCAGGCCCCTCTCCTAGCACCCAGACAGCAACACTTTTCTTTTATAGCGCTAAGCATGACTGTGACTCTAATTCGTCTGCATCATTACTTGAACAATCTGGCTGTCAAAAACTGTAAGCCTTATGGATGGACTGATTTATTTTGCAGTCCTGGGGCTTTGAACCCAGGGCCTTTGCACTGAGCTACATCTCCAGCCATTTTTGTATTTTTATTTTGAGACAGGATCTCGTTAAATTGCTAAATTGCCCATGCTGGTCTTGAATTTGTGATTCTCCTGCTTCAGCCTCCCATAGTGATGGGATTATAAGGGATTACAGGCATGCACCATCATGCCCAGCTCCTTTTCTGCAAATCACTTTCATCCTAGGCTCCTACCACAGTGGCCAGCACACAACACAATAGGTGCTCAGTAAATTCGGGGGTTGGGGTGGGCTTCCTCACCTCAGCTGGCCTGCCTGTTCCCTAACCTCTGGCCTGGATCGGGAAGGGTTCAAAGGTGAGCGGGACCACTGGCGCAGCGGGAGGACCATCTGCATCAAGACCCACGAGAGCGGGCAGAAGGAGATCGAGGCCTTCGACGCCGCCATCCTGCTCATCCGCAACCCCTACAAAGCTCTCATGGCAGAGTTCAACCGCAAGTATGGCGGCCACATAGGCTTTGCGGCGCACGCGCACTGGAAGGGCAAAGGTACGGCCTGGGAGGAAGGGCAGGGCGGGGTGAGGCAGGGGCGGAGTCTGCGAGGGGCGGGGTCTGGGGCGGGGTCTGGGGCGGGGTTAAGGTCAGTCTCCAAGTCGCGGTGTGTGCTGCTGGCCTTGCTCCCTTTGAGACGGGGCACAGCTCCACCACGCCCACAAGCGACAGCCTTTGAGCCCGCCTGTTACAAGAGAAGTGGTTAAGCTAGCGGGCTTTGCAGCAAGACGGCCTGGGCTCCAGTCCAGCCCTGCCACTCCCTGGAACAGCTCCTTACTCGCTCTGAGCCTTAGACTGTCCCATCTATAAGGCAAGATGATAAAATCGTGCAGATGTGGGAGGTTATTCCTTCTACAAACACTCGCGGGTGTTACTCTCGCTGCGGTGATGGAGATCCTCAGGAGACTGATGTGGCATTGGCCAAGGAGACCTGAATTCAGTGCCACTTCAGTGGCTGTGTGACAGGGGGGTCCTGAGAGCTCGGTACAGAGCACCCTTTCAACGAATCTTCCAGCAGCTCTGAGACGTGCCTCACACCAGAGAGCTTGGGAATGGCAGTATTGGCCCCCAAGAGGACCTGGGTGTGAGATTCAGCTCTGGTGCTTTCTAGGTGACAGAGGGCACCTGTGTGATGAACATTTCAGCACGGAGAGGTCCAGGGTAGTGGTCAGAGCTTAGAAGTGAGGCCCAAATTCAGCCATCTTGAGTATCTTTAAAATCCCTTGTCAGCTACATGAGGGTCTTTATCACCTCTACTATTTTGGAAATGGTTAACTTTTTTTTTTTTTTTTTTGGTGATAACGAGGATTGAACCCAGGGCCTCAGCCACTTTTTAAATTTTGAGACAGGTTCCTGTGAAGTCATTAAGTTGCCCTGCCTAGGTTCAAACTTAGGATCCTGCTGCCTCAGTCTCCCAGAGAGAGATCAACACCCAGCAAGAGATTAACTTCTTAAACCCCCCACAATAACTCCCACAATTTCATCCCTGGGGCAGCCCAGCTTCAGAGAAGTCGAGGAACTTTTTGGGTGGGAGATTTGCAGTTACACAGATAAGTGGATTCTAAAGACTTGTAGAGCAGCACAGCGCCTGTGACCAACAGGAAAGGTTTCCTGCACTTAAAAGTTGTCAGGAGGGCAGATCTCAAGTACAGTGTTCTTAACACACAAGCACATACGTGTGTGCACAAAGAAAACGGACACCAGTAGACTTTGGGAGATGATGGATGTGTTTATGACCTGCAGGGATAGTAACACAATTGTATCCATATATCCAAACTCCAAAGTGTACATATTAACTATGTGCAAGTTTTTGCATACCAGTTATACCTCAGTAAAGCTGGTAGACAGGGGCTTTTCCATGAAGTGGTGGAGCAGGGATTTGAACCCAAGGAGGCTTGCTCCTGAGTCTGTGCTCTTAAGCGCTGTACTTTGCTAATAGACTGCAGACTGTCCTCAGCTTATGATGGATCCACTTATGATGGGAAGACTTATGATGTGCAAAAGCATAACCATACAACCATTCTGTTTTTCTCTTGGAGTACAGTAGTCAATAAATTATATGTGATACTCAACACTTAATTAAAAACAGGCTTTTTGTTAGACGATATTGCCAATTGTAGTCTAATGTAAATGTTCAGAGCATGTTTTAGGTAGGCTTGGACATTTGGCAGGCCAAGTGTATTCTATGTGTTTTAGATGTACAGTATTATCAGTTACAAAGGGCTGATTTGGGCATGACCAGTCCTAAGTCAAGGAGCACCTCAGTGAGCTGTTGGTGGCTATGGGTCAGCTGGTCCAGAGTCCCAGAAACCCAGCAGGTTCTCTGTGGATGTGAGCTGCTCACGGCTCATCCAGCCTCCAGGAGTCAGGCTGCTCCCAAGCCCCAGCCCCTCCGAGGAGACAGAGCAAGGCAGGCTGTTGTCAGCTGCACCCTCCACATTGATTTTGTTGCTGAAAACCTTTGGCCTGACCTGAGCAGCTAAGCCCTGGGCTCCCGCTCACTCAAGGGGGCTCACCTAGCCCTCCAAGTGCCTTGCTCTTCCTCTTGGAGGGATTGGAAGCTGGGATGGGTGACAACATTTGTTTATGCTCCTGAGTAAAGAGGCCTCCGAATTGTTTCTTTGTAGAACAACTTAGTGAACACTGGCCAGAGCCAAGCTGAGCCATCCGTGAGTGCCCGTGGCAGCAGCATGTCACAGGAGCACAGACTCCCCTAACTGGAGGTGGGAAGGACCTGAGCATCACTGAACCCCTGGTTCTCAGCCTGGGCTGCACATCAGATTCCCTGGAGGAGCCTGAGAAAATTCCAGTGCCCACCTATGGCCAAGGGTGGAGCCCAGACATCCATATTTTAAAAATTCAGCTCCTTCCAGTGTGCAGGTAGGGCCGAGATCCCCAGAGTCCCTGTTTATTGGTGAGGAAACTGAGGCTTAGGGGAGTCAGACTCTACCAAGGCCGCTTGGGCACTAGTGGCAAGACTGGCCCTAGGACCAGCCGTTCCACCTCCCAGGGCCGCTGATGCCCAAGGGAGGAGAAAGAGGATTAACTCAGGAAGTGCATGGACACTGAGCACTTGCTACCTAAACTCCCCAGTAACATGGGGAGGTGACAAAGGCTGCCAGGATCTCAGTAGCATTCCAAGGTACAGGTGCACAATCCACCTAGGTAGGGACGGCTAAAGCCCTAGGCATGGACCAAGCTGGGATCCAAACTCAAGCACTGACCAACCGCTGGGCTCCTTCTTCCCCTGGGATGCTGCAGACTCCCAGTGTGCTCAGAGGCTCTCCTCTCCTGCAGAGACCCTGCTCTGGCTTCAGTGCAGTGCCCCAGGGAGCCCTCCCAGGAGTCACCTCTTTTGTTTTGTCTTATTCAAGACAGCGAGGAGATTTAAAGTAGGGAGATGAAAGAGTTGGGACAGGCTGGACCTACAGGCTGCAGGGGACATGGACAGGATGCTCTGCCACACTCACCTCATATGTTTACCTGGCTGTTCCCCTCATTTGCGCCCACCATCTGGACGCTGCAGGCACTTGAGTGTGAGACCCTTGCTTTTGGCCCCCCATCCCCTGGCTGCAGCACTGCTGCTGAGCTAGTTAGACATGCAGATTCTCAGGCTGCACCTGAGACCTACAGAACCAGGAACCCTGGCACCGGGGGAGCCTGCTCCTTTCAAGACACCCTGCCCTCCAGGTCTCCCAGTGAGCACTCTGCTGAGGGACCGCTGTTTAGAAGCCTCGCTCCTCAAAGTGCAGCCAGTGGGCCAGCGGTACAGACATCAGGCCTCCAGCAGCCCCCGGCCCAGGCTCACCTAAACAAAATCTGCATTTTAACCTGGATTCCTGGGGGCTTTGGGTGCTTTTGAAAGTTTGAGAACTGCTGCTTTAGGGTGCCCTTGGTGTAGAGTGGGAGGGTCACCCTAGGAGAGCAGAGGTCCCTCAGCTGTTGAGCATGTGCACCCCGCCTCGCCCTTGTCCCCTTCCCAATTTCAGCTGAGTTGAGGCTCCCACACCCCTCATACACACGCACACACCTTTGGTTCCGTAACATTAATTTTCTAATCTCCCTGGAGTGAGTCCAAAGAAAAATTTTATGTGATATGATTACACAAGGTGAATTGTCCTGGATCTGTTTAATGAAACAGATACTGTGTTTAATGACTCCATGGGGAACTGGGTACAGTGAAGCCATTAATCAGGCCTTGGTTCCTTCGGTCCACAAGAAGAGAGGGCAGAGACTGGCCAGCCTGTGCCCAGCCATGCACACCTGTTTGGCAGTGCTGCTGGAAGCAGAGCTCATTACCTGTGTTCCATGACTCCGTGTGTCTTTATTACCGACGTTCAGGCAGTGATCAATTACCAGGAATCCTGAGCTAATAGAGGGCTTGGTTTTAAATGTTGAAATTTTTAAATGAAGTAGCTTAGGAGCATTGCCATAGGAGGGGGTGGAGTGGGCAAGTGTCTGCAGCCAGAACAGGTTGAGTATCTACTCCGCTTTGGGATGGGGCCTGTGGAATGTCTCAGGAGATGTGAGGGGCACCGGGGCAGCACCAGCACGAAGTCACAATAGTGACCAACATTTATCCAGCTTCTCCTGTATCCCTGGCACCGCACACGGATCTCTGCGTGTCTTCCACTCTGTCCGCACAGCATCTGTAAGGAGGGAGGGCTTATCAGGGTCGCCCGTTTGCAGATGGGTAAACTGAGGCTCGAGGAGATCAAGTAAGACCTGTTAAGCCACACAGCTCATGTGGGGAGGGGCTGAGTCTTGAAGCTGGGCAATTTGACTGCAAAGTCATCTATGCACAGACCCCATGTCTCAGGCAACAGTTTGAAGATAAAGCATGCAGAGGGCAGATGAGGAGGCAAGCTGCCCAGGACCCAGAGCAAAAAGAGGCCAAAGCCGACTGGATCACCTGCTCTTAAAGGGCTCATTGGCACGGTGGCTCCCAGGGTCAGCATGGGGTAGATGTGGGTTTCAGTTATGACTTGGACGTCCCCTGTGACCTTGGATCAATTGTTACATGTATCTGAGCCTTCTTTTCCCTGTGTCTGAAAGGGTGCTAATAATTCTTACTCCCCGGGTTTGGTCTCTTCCTTTTCTCCTTCCTGTTCTTCCTCTTCCTGCTCCTTCTCCTTCTTCTCTCCCTGTTTCTCTCTCTCCCTCTCTCTCTCTGTCTCTCTCTCTCTCTCTCACTGTATCATTTTTACATTATTAGGGATTGAACCACACTGAACCATCCCTTAAAAATTACCTTATAAATTTTATTTTATTTTGAGACAGGGTCTTTCTGAGTAGCTCACACTGGGCTCAAACTCTGGCTCAGCCAGCCCCAGTGCTGAGGTCACAGGCAAGCAGCACCACCCCTGGCTCTCCAGGCTTCTCGAGAGCTCGGAATGAGGTGACACATACAGAGGCCACCGTAGCCCCCGGACACCCAGCACATGCTCACGAAACATCCATTCCCAGCCTGCCCTTCAGGTCGAGGAACCTGGGATCCCACAGAAGTGTGCAGGCAGCAAGGACACTATGTCATCTTCATCCCACTGCATCCAAGGCCTGGCACATGGAGCTCCCTAGGGGACCCAGCCATCACGCAGCCCGGCCCTCCCTCTTCCTTAGGTACACTCTGCAACTGTCCTATGGCACCACTAGAGATGGCCAGAAGTAGCCAGGCCTAGAAGTCTGAGTCTCTGTGGCACTGGGTGATAGATGCTGGCCCCATCACCTGGCCTTCTTCCGTGAGCATGAGCAGCTATCCTGAGTCTCCTGGGAGGCTGCGGGGTGACTCCATGGTTGGGAAATTCTGAAGAAGTCCTACAGACCATACCCATACTAGATTTTTCCTAATCACCCAGATACATCTGGTCTTAACCCATTATAACAGTACGGGCTCAATTAGTCACAGACATTGTAAATAATCTATTTTAAGAATAAAAAAAAAATCTCCTTGTCACCATGTAAATATTTCCCAAGCAGCCATGGGGTTCCAGGAAGGCAGACCAGGGGAGCAGGCAGCTCACACAGATTCTGATGTGTTCTGCAAAGGAAAGAGGCTCTTCATCACGGCACAATTTGGCGCTTGGGAATTTTAATTTAGCTCGACAGCCGTTCACGGAGCCCCTGCTGTGGGAGGCATGGGAGGCAGTGGGGATGAAGCTGCTGGTGCCTGGGAAAGAGCGGGGTCCTGGAACGGGGCAGCTTGAGCTGGATGTGCTTGCAGCCCTGCGACCTTGAGCGGGTCACTGCATCCCTTTGAGCCTCAGTTTCCTCCCTAATGATGACTGGACAGGAGCTCCTTCCTTCCAGGGAAGTTGCTAGGGTTAAATGAGATACTGGGCGTTCATCACCCAGCGAGGGGTCAGGTGTTCGTTTTTAAGAACTGCTCCCCAACCTAGGTCGGGGCTTCACTGATCCTCATGCAATAAATAAATGCCCCTTGCTGTCCTCCGGTCCCAGTCTGGAGCTTCAGGGACCTGCCCAGTGACCCCTCAGCTGGTGCTCAGGAGTGAGGCTGTGACCTTTGCTGTGCTCCCAGAACCCTCCTGGTCCCCCTTCTGCAGTTACCCCACAGCAGCTCCTTGGCCGGGCTGTCTCCCTCTTTGAGGCTTTCTCCAGGGCTCCCCCAGGAATTTCCTTGGTGACCTGGGTGACCTGGCTTTCCAGGTGACTGGGTTTCAAGTTGGACAGTCCCGAGCACCGCCTCCCCATCTGGGTGACATCCACCTTGTTGTTTCACAGTGGCAAGGGAAGGAACGGCAGAAAACAGGTGACACAGGGAGTCGCAGCCCAGTGTAATCAGCGCAGTGCGGCTGTGAGGAAGGAAGGCGGGCGCAAAGTAAGAGGAGGCACCTGCCTGAGGCCTGCAGCTGGAGGAGGTGGCAACTTACCCGAGAAGAGATTAGCATAGGTAGCAACAAGAGCCCGTATGTACTGAGCACCTACCGGGTACAGGTGACCATGCTAACCACTTCCTCTGCCGTGTGGCTGTAATTGCCCTGTGAATAGATACCGGCACGGGATGCCTTGGTAGTTAAAAGCCCAGATTTTGGAGTCAGATTGCCTGGGTTCGATCCCTGGCTCTGCTTGCTATCAGCTGAGTGAGCCTGGAAGCTTAATGAACCTCTCTGTCCCTCAGCTTCCCCTTCTGTTAAATGAGGGTAATGATGATACCTACCTCACACGATTGTGAGGATTAAGTGGAATGCAGAGATATATTAACAGTTACTAATCTGTAATTATAATGCAATATAGTTATATACTTGTAGTATGTAATTTACATATTAGCATATGTTGTATAATATATAATGTACATATAACACACACTACATATTTATATTTTTATATAATATATAGTATAGCACATAAAATATATGTAATTTATATATCACAGAGTATCATATATAATTTATATATTATATAGTTATGTGTGTCGCCTACATATGTTTATACATAATTTAATATATTGGACATTCACTATAACATATATTTGCATATTAATCTGAAATTAGTATAAGTATGCTATCTGTGTATTAGATGTTTATATTGTGGTAATGCACACATATAGCGGGCCTGGCTTCTAGTAACGCAGGAAAGGAGCCAGACTGTCGCGGAGACCTAACAGACTGCGGGGAGCGGGCTGGGCGCGTACAGGGACCTGCGAGGCCGTGGGGTCACCACCTTGAGCCGCGGTCCCTGCCCCGGGCTGACCCTCCCTCCTCCCCGCAGAGTGGCCGGAGTTCGTGCGCAACTACGCCCCCTGGTGGGCCACGCACACGCTGGACTGGCTCAAGTTCGGCCGGAAGGTGTTGGTGGTGCACTTCGAGGACCTGAAGCAGGACCTCTTCGCGCAGCTGGGCCGCATGGTCAGCCTGCTGGGCGTGGCCGTCAGGGAGGACCGGCTGCTGTGCGTGGAGAGCCAGAAGGACGGGAACTTCAAGCGCTCGGGGCTGCGCAAGCTCGAGTACGACCCGTACACGGCCGACATGCAGAAGAGCATCTCGGCCTACATCAAGCTGGTGGACGAGGCCCTCAAGGGGCGCAACCTCACGGGCGTGCCCGACGACTACTACCCGAGATGATGCCTCGGCGCGGGGGAGGGGCGGGAGCCCTGAGCACGCCCTGGTGACCCTCACTGACCTGTCCTCTCTTTGGTTTGGGGACCTCCCATCCCCCTGGCTGCGGTGGCCTTCAGCGAGTTTCCTGCATGACAGAGGAGGCTCGAGGGAAGACTGTCCAGGCACCCACCCCGCTCTCCACTGCTTCCCCTGGAGATCCGGGCTGCCTGGTTTGGGGCGTTCCGGCCACATGGACCCTTTTCTCTCGCACACCCACCTGCCCCTGTGTCCCTGCCTCCACCACTCTGGGTTCCCCTGCTGGGAGGGCCGGCTCCTCATTCTCACGGAGACGTGCTGGGCCCTGCCTGCCCCCAGCAGCAGTTGCTGAGGACTCACGTGACAGCTCCCCAGGCCTCATCTGTGGGCTGAGATGTGCCCCCCTTTCCTTCTCTGCTCAGGAAGCCCTGGCTCTGTCTGCATCTCAGGCCACCCTCTGTGGGGAAGAAGGACTACTGGACGTGTCCTCGGGGCCTTGGGTGCCTGACACTCTGGGTAGAGTGAGGAGACAGTGGTGCTCACGGGAGGTGGACCGGCACCACCACCTGGCACGTCCTTGGCACTGTAAACCCATCCCCCAGCCACTCTACAGCTGAGGAGCCGGCTGGTAGCTTTTCTACTCGAGGGTTCCAATCTTGCGCTGTTCTTCCTCTGTGTCTAGGAGGTGATGTTGGAAGTCCTTTATCCCCCTCCCAGGGTCCCTTGGGCAGCATCGGCTAACCCCACACGATGCCATGCCCAGAGTTTGGGTAAGCGTTAGAGCCCCAGGGACACATCTGTCCATTGTGGGCTCCAACACATCGGTCTTACACTGCCCTCCTGACCCCTACCAGTGGGTCCTTTGCTATTCAGCTGATAGAGCAAGAGTGCTCAAATCAGGTGGAACCACACCCAGCAGAGACTCCTGCTACCTTCCTAGACAGCCAGCCTCCCTTCTTCAGAGCCCCACAGGACCAGCTTCCCCTGAGGGCCCTTTAAAGAATGGGGGTAATGAACGGCTCATCGTTTCCATTAGACCGCTGCTCTCTTAACGCCGAGACACCAAACCAAAGGATTTCTGAGGACCTGAGTCACTGAGCATCTGTTTTAAAGCATTGATCCAGGACCCCATTCTCTCCCAATGGCTTCACACTCAGCCCACGTTTGCAGCATCCCCATCCTGTAGATGCAAAAGCCATAGGTCACAGCCTCTTTGCTCTTCTGTCTGGAGTGCCCCCGGGTAAATGCTCATTCCCAGAGAGCAAAGGGGGTATGGAGAAGGCGAGCGAAAAGAGTATATTTTTTTAGGAGGAATATGACCAATACATTCCGCCCCCTTGGGCCCTGGCCATGCAGAGAGAAGGCACGAGGAGTGGGCCCGAGCTATCCTTCTCCAGGATCCCCCATCTATAGGATTTGGGCCACCCCATGGCTCAGCCCGTGGGCTCTGAATGTATTTTGTACCGCATTTCTTTCCCCCAGCTGATTTCTAGTCTTTCGTGAAGCTGTGGAGAGCTTGGCCTCCCTTCTCACACGGAGACCAGCTCTCTCTGGAAGACTCTTGGTCCAAGAGCTGGGCCAGTTCTTTGCTGGTGGTCCCTCTGGCCACAGGCTTGTGTCTGAAGATTCCTCAGGTCAACACTATCATTAAATTCAAGTTTTGTTGATAATTCTACCCTGTGGTAGAGTGTTATGTAAGGCAAGTTTACAAAGGGGATATTTTCTGTGTGTGTGTGTGTGTGTGTGTGTGTGTGTGTGTGTGTGTGTGGCTGGTATGTCTGGAGATGGAGCTGGTGTGTAACTGCTCCTCTCTTTCTTTCTTTCTCTCTCTCTCTCTGCCTGATGAAACCCTATTTCCCTGTGGGTATGGAGATCAGACCATTCTTAATGTGTCTGCATGTGGAATTGTGTGTGTAGAGGGAAAGAACTGGTGTGGGTGACCTGAGGTGTGAGAGGCTGTCAGTCTGTTTAGGGCACATCTGCCTTCTGTGTGTACCTTTGTCCTTGGTAACTGTAAGGGGTGAGGGCAGACATGGGCTGGAAGAGACAGCTACCGTATGAGGAGGTCAGCTATGGAAGGTGGCCCTTCTGTATACATGTGTGTGTGAGTGTGTGTGACAGAGAGGGACCCTAGTGTGTGCTATGCACACGTTTTTGCAGCAGGGAAGCCAGTGAAAATGCAAGAGCACAGACAGGCCCCTCTGTCCAGTGGTGTGTGTGTGGCAGTAGGGAATGCTTAGCCTCAGCTTCCAAAACCTCTGATATAGCTGAAGGAAGACCTTGGGTTCACTTCTTTCACTCACTGGAGAGGTTTCTGAGAGAGGTACTGGTGCCCGGACAGTTTCCCAGCCCAAGAGAGAGACAAGATTTTAGATCCCACCATATGGGTGTTAAGGGGAGGGGGAGCAGGGACATTCAGAAAAAAGAGGGAAGGGGAGAGCTCAGGACTCAGGGTCCTGGGGTTCATAAATAAGGAGGAGAAAAAAGATCCCAAGGGGAGATGCCACATGGCAATGCCAGCTGGCTCGTAGAAACCATTCTGGGATGACTGAGCTCTGATCTGAGCTCCAGCCTGCACTCTGACCCCTGGTCACACACAGAGCCCAGTGCTAGACCCTTAAACCTGAGTCATGATTGAACCCTGATCACACCCTGAGCTCTGATCCTGGACATATACTGACCCACTATCCTTGTCTTGCTCTGATCTTTTATCCAAAATCCACATGGACTGAGTCCCAGATCTGGTTCTGTGAACACTGATCCCTGACCCTGGTATTGATTACACCTCAGCATAGGCCTTAGATTGGACCCTAGCCTGACCCAGGACAAATGCTGATAGTGTCTCTTGACTGAGTCCTAATCTTTGTCACTTGAGCTCTGATTCTGGCCACACACTAAGCCCCATCCCACTCTGGAGGAGTTTTAATCTTGATCACTCTGAGCCGCAGCCTGATCCTACACTGCACCTCGACTCTGGTCCCAGGCTGAGCCCTGGACTGACGTGCCAACTTCCTTTTCCCTCTCTAAATATCATCGGGAGTCAAGTTTTCCCAGCCTGAAATGAGGGACACCATGAGGCACCCAGCTTTCCTGGATCCTCCCAGGATCTCAAAGATTTTTGTGCCATGTCCAGCCCCCCACTCCTCCCCACCACAATTGCCATAGGGAGGGGGCAGCTGCTATGCAACCTCTTTAGGCCAAAGTTGGGGCTGACATGGGCAGCTTGCCACTCCTTCTTTGGCTGATGGCTGCCCTTTCTACCACACTTCATCATTGGCAACCAAATGTTTGTATTTCAGACTCAGAACTGAGTCATCCAAAACAAGTTTATTGAGCATCTATTGCATACCAGGCATTGGTTCCTTTTTGAGGGACTGAAAGAAAATGTCATTCCCCATTCCTGCAGAGTTTACATTTGATGAGTACAAAGTAGATATCTGTAAAGTGATCAGAAAGATTTTGCAGAGATGAGAATGGGACAAAGAAGATAAGGATGGAGGGCTTGGGCCACTCCCCACAATCCCCATGAGGTAGATGGAAGAGAGATTATAGGTCTTTTCTAGAGGGGGAACAAGGTGTCCAGTAAGAGTCCCAAGCCACAGAGATTCACTGCAGAGCTGAGGCCACTACCCCTTCCTTCCAGGGCCTAGAGGTCCGTCCCATGTGCAGAAAATGACAGGAAGAAAGGTTATGGATCCCAGCGGTCCCCAGTGCAGGTGACATGCCTGGCCTGGATGCTGGATACTGCATACTCTTGTCCTGCTGTACCCTCAGTGTGGCCCCAGGACTTGACAGCAAGCAGGGCTCAGTATCTGCTGATTGCTGAAATTCATTCCACATTTCTCCAATAACCCTGGAGGTGGCTGCAAAGTTCTCAAGTGAACAGTGTGGGAAGGGAGAAGAGGAAAATAAAGGGGGAAGCCGGGGGTTGGGGTGGAGCATTCTGTGTGGACCCATCAGCTTCCGGAGCCCGGGCCCCTTGTGTGCTCATTTTTCTCTCCTGTATTGCTTTCTTTCTCTCCCCATTCCTCCTCTCTTTCTGTTTTTCTTTACCCTGCCCTCTGCTCTTAATCTCCTTCTTTATGGTCTAATTTTCTCCACTTGCCCATTAACCACCGTTCTCTGTTGTCTTTCTACCCACATGCTCTTTTCCCCCCTCACTTCCTCTCTCCCTGCTCCCCTCATCTCATCTTTTTCTCCTTCTGGTTTGCTGCCTAGGTCTTCCTGATTGCTGCAAGCGCCTCTCCATCTCCTCTTCCGCTCTGAGCTCTGTCTCTTTCTCCTTCCCCTTCTCCCTGCCCACCCCTGCCGTCCTCTCCCATCTCCTCATTCTAGAGAGTGCGGGTGACTCTGCAAGATCCAGACACAGTGAGACAAATGGGTACCCAGGCTGGTAACCAAGGAAGTGGTTTCCTTAGCAACAGAATTTGCAGGCACGTGCTGCAATGCCCTGTCCCCTTCACTATTACAGGAAGGAGAGAGAGGGAAAGAGAGAGAGTGAGAGACACAGAGAGACAGAGGGAAGGAGGGAGGGAGGGAGAGAATCTGGATGGTATGGGGTGGCAGTAAACCTTGAGATAGTTGTATCCCACTGTAGGATGAATGATTTTTACAAGAAGGCACAGTGGTCTGACACCAGCTCTTACTTTAGGGAAACTCAAAAGTATCAGAGTTGGGACCAGAAATGGGCATGTAAATGGGGGCGAGCTGGAGGTAGGACCCACAGCACTCAGTGACAGGTTGGATGTGGGGAGGAAGAAAAAACAAAAAAAAAGGCAAATGACCCCACAGTGCTGGCTCAGGCAGCTCCCCAAAGGGGAGTTTCCATTGACTGAGACTGAGAATCCAAGACAGAGGAGTGGATGAGGGAGGGGAAGATATTAAGGTGATACAGCTCCCTGTCCCCAAGAATTCATCTACCCGGCAAGGGGAGGGGAGGGAAGGGAAGACTCAGAGACAGATGCAGAAATAACTCATTCAGTTCTCGCTAAATTGGCAGCTGGGTGAGCAGGAGAACAAGAACAGAACATCCCTGAAGGTGGGAGAGGCTTGGAGAAGTTCAGTCATTTGCTTTAGGGACAGAGAAGTCTGGGACAACCCTGCGATTCTAAGCTGGGAATGATCCAGAGCCTGTCTGGAACGTAGAAGAGAAAGAAGCGGGTATAAAATGGAGAAAGAGAGAGATTTAAATCCTTGATCTGGCACTTTTTCCTACTGGGAAAACAAAAATATGTTCAATTTTAGAGAAATGAGAAAGAGAGAGGAGGGAGACAAAAGCGCCTACTGTATGATTGCTTCGGCGGCTATAAATAACTGTCCCCAAAGAAAACATCTGCCAGGATGCATTCCCTTCCAGAGCAAAGAATTGCGCCCCCAGTCCATGTTGATATTTAAGCGACTCGGAGGGATGTGGGAGGGCGAGGGGCCAGGGGCAGCAAGTGGATCAGTGTAACATGGAGATCTGGCCTCCTTTCCCCCAAAAGCAATAAAACGTGCAGGCGAGGAGGGCTGTAAATCTGGATGATGATAATATCCGTCCTCGCAAAAGCAACATGTTTATTTATCATGTTTGTGGGTTTACTATCGCTCCTCAAATTTACAGTCTGCAATCTGCCTGCGTGCAACGGGAGAGACTCAGAAATGAGGACAGCCCCGGCAGAATGCGGAGGAGGAAGAAATGATAAAATATTTATCCCCTCGCCCCACTCCCACCCCTTGGCTGCCTTAAATCCAATTTCAAACAAAGGTGGTGATTTATCTGAGCGGGGCCTTGCAGCTCTTTCGGGCCGCCAACAGCTAATTGAAACGAGCAGTTATTACGGAAGGAAATGTGTTGCGACAAAATGATGTTAGTGGGTTCTAGAATCATTTGCTGAACAATGATGGGAATGGATAGTCGGCCGAGAGTGACAGAGAGGGTAGCACTTGGTGGTGACCAGATTTCTGTGCACCCTCAAGCGGAGGACAAAAGGGAAGAGAGAAATTCCTTTCTGAGATGGGAGTTAGGGACCCAACCCATAACACAGTTACCTGGGCTTCCTGAGGTTTAGCCTGCCCAGGCTTAGCTCAGATCTTCTGAATCAGATGTTCCAAAAGATGGGGCCAGGGGTCCACCTGTGTCTTCCAAAGCTCACCAGGTACAGGGACCCCTGCAGTAAGAAGGGGATGGGACTGATGCTATGGGCTAACTCTGAGGCAAGCTGTGTGTTGTTGACCCAAACCATCTGGCCCAAACCATCATCACAACAGGAGAGGACAGAGGATTATCACCATCACCCAAACCTTTCCATGCATTACAATCCATGCCTCCTTAAAACTAACTCAATATCTGGCACACAGTAAGTGCTAGGTAAATGCCTGTTGATTGTCTCAATAAGTGAATATTGAGATTCACCTTTTAACAGATATTGAGAGAAGAGCTAGAGTCACCAGCCAAAGCTGACTTGAGTTTGTCCCTTAGTGGCCCTGAAGTTTATCTCCAGCAAGATTGAATGTTTTCTATTCTCTCACCCCACTTAGACTCCCACAGCCAATAAATGGTGTGTGCAGTTCACTCTCCTGGTCCTCAAGACCCAACTGTACACATCTCTTCCCAAATTCACAGGAAGTGATGTCACATGGTGTGTTACTCAAACTACCAGAGACGAAGGAGGAGGAAAGAGGAAAGACGTTCTT